GCCGGCACCATGAAGCAGGAGTTGGCAGCCCAGAACACCCTAACCCCCAGGACGACGGCGGCCGCCAAGCGCTGTGGATTTCCGGGTACGGCTCCCTGGTGTGGAGGCCTGACTTTGCCTACAGCGACAGCCATGTGGGCTTCATGCACCGCTACAGCGGCTGCCTCTGACAGGGAGACACCTTCCATCGGGGCAGCGACAAGATGCCGGGTCGTGTGGTGACCCTCCCTGAAGATCGTGAGGGCTGCACTTGGGGTGTGGCGTACCAGGTGCAAGGTGAGCAGGTCAATGAGGCCCTGAAGTACTTGAACGTGTGGGAGGCAGTGCTCGGTAGCTATGATACCAAGGAGGTCACCTTCTGCCCTCAAGATGCCCCTGACCAACCACTCAAGGCACTGGCCTACGTGGCCACCCCACAAAACCCTGGTTACCTGGGCCCTGCGCCTGAGGAGGCCATCGCTACGCAGATCCTGGCCCGCCGAGGCTTCTCTGGCCACAGCCTTGAGTACTTGCTGCGCCTGGCAGACTTCAGGCAGTTCTGTGGGCCCCAGGCACAGGACGAGCACCTGGCAGCCATTGTGGATGCTGTAGGCACCATGCTGCCCTGCTTCTGCCCCACTGAGCAGGCTTTGGCACTGGTCTGAGGGGCTGAGCCCCTACGTGGACACAGGGCCCAGGTCCCTACTCCAGTGCACACAGACAGACTTGATATAGCTGGAGCCCACTGAGAACACTTGGTGGGCCGACTGGGGCCTCTCTCAAGCCCCTGCCTGTCTGCCAGCCCCCAGATCTCCTACCTGACACTGACTTACTTCCCTACTCCAGTGCACACAGACAGACTTGATATAGCTGGAGCCCACTGAGAACACTTGGTGGGCCGACTGGGGCCTCTCTCAAGCCCCTGCCTGTCTGCCAGCCCCCAGATCTCCTACCTGACACTGACTTACTACTTGAAACTTTATTTATTGCACAATGTTGGTGTGGTGGGCAGGGTGGGGGGCCTGCCCTAGATATAGGGGCCCTGCTGAGCGGTGCCCCACCCCAGGCGCCTGTTGCCTGATCAGATTCCCCCCAGTGCTGCTGCTATCCCCATACTACCCAGGCCTCCACCTCCCCAGGGAGCCTCCAAGAGCCTTGACCCTCTGCCCCCTGACTCCAGACCAACCATTCCCTAGCCCCAGAAACAACACCCGTTAAAGGTCCCAGCCTGCTGGTGAGGGTAGGAGGGAGTGAGGAGAGGGGGCCCTACAAGAACTGAGGCCCCTGCCAGCTGTGCTCATCCCCCAGGTCCCCAGGGCAGAGCTGGATCTGGAGGCCAGACACAGCTGCTGAGGCTGGGCCTAGGCCTCTTACCCATTTGGCTTTGTTTCCCTGTCCTTCTGTCTGTCTGTCTGGGCTACTCCTGTCTGTTTGTTGGTCTATTCCTGGGAAGCTCATCACTATAGGTCCTGGCACCTTCCCAGTCTGTCCCATACTATAATCCATAAGCTGATCTCATTAAAAAAAAAAAAAATTAAACAAAAAGACAGGTATTCATGTGTAAATATCTAATTACTTATAAAAAATTTTATGGAGAAAAAAATAATCACACTATATAGCTCAGCTATGAGGAGTATATATAATCATAACAACATAAACAATGAACACTGATTAAAGCAAATTCTAAGACAGCTCTATCAGGAAAACAGGAGGATTGGAAATACGTATGTAGATGACGGCCATAAGTGGTGACAGAAGGCTGGGGACTGGGTTTTTCTTAGCTAACTACAGAACTAGTTGACTCTAAGTTGTATTTTTATTATCCCGATAAAATTAATATTTGAAAGAACGGTGCTATCCATGTTCTCACAAGAGTTTACAGCCTGGTGAAAAAGGAGGCCAAGCAGCTGTGAGAACACTACAGCATCTATACAAAGATTGGGATGAACACGTGTTATATCATTGTTCTACTGTCTTTTTGCAGACACTGACTTGAAGAAGCAGTCAGCTGCCAGGTATCAAGTTTGAAGGAGTATATTGGGAAAATGTTCCTAAGCAAATGACACAGATGAAATGAAAAACAAGGATATCAAAGGCAGAGAAAACTCAGAGAAAATTCATTTAGACATTTGTTAAGGTTTTTGTTTTATTTAAATAGAGGGGATCAATTCTCTTTTCTTTTTAAGGAATATAATTATATGATATAAATAAATTCAAGAGAAGCTCCCAACGGGGGCAAGTTAAGCTTTACTTTGTGTAATACTGTTAAGTTGAATTCACAAAGGCTTTTACAACCAACATTATTAGTACAGCTGAAAAAATTTTCTAGGTTCAAATTTCTAGTAGGTATCTAAGGTATAACTTATTTTACATTTTAAAAGGGAACAGTGTCTTTCAATAATGTTTCAAAAAGACTATAAGCCAATAAGTAGTTTGACAATTTTTTTTTTTTTTTTTGACAATGTTTTTAATGAAAAGTTTTTGTACTAAATGTTACATTACAGTTTTGGCGACTAGGTTTGATTTATCTGTCCTATGTTGATATCAAATTAGCCAAAATAGCTAAAACTCACACTGCTTTCAAAATTTCATTTCCTAAACCTCCATTTCTTCTTTCCTGATTTTATGGTCTGCAGTACTAGAAAAGTACTAATTTTTCCTGCATGAGCTCTTGAATTTAAACATTATGTTTGCATAACATTTAAATGCCAATCAATCTTTACCTGCCTTTATCTGGATCTCTATGGTCTACGCCTGTCGAAGTTAAGATCTAATTCTTTTTGTTCATACTAGGACAAGAGCAGAATGGAAGCTGAAATCTAAAGTAGCCCACCACTTTAAGCTAGTCATTAGTTTCACCTTGCACTAGCAGACATTAAATAGAGCTGCTCATAGCGGGAGAAAAAAAACTTCACCTCTTTTCAAGTTTTTGCTTATCTTCTCCATTGGGCAATACCAATTAATGAGAAAATAGCCATTATTATGACATCCCTGCAAGAAAAGAATCCATGGGGAAAACATGGAGAATCAATAGTTGACTACAGATGGAAACTGCTTTATTACATTCTGCTTAGATAGAAAAATTTTTAAGATTGTTTTTTATAATGTCACGTTTGTGAAAATGAAAACTTGCTAGTCCTAATATCATAACAATACTTTTGAGGGAGGGGTTTGGACTAAGATTCAATTTCTTTTAAGAGGGTTTGTATTTGGGATGTTAATTTCACTGAATGTGAAATGGAAATGCAAATAGGGAAGTAAACTGACATTTATTTACTGTTTCCTTTTGGTTTTAAGAGTAGGAAATTTGCCCTCATTTCTGTGACCCAAATTCCCTTTCCTAATTCTAAAGTAAAGCATTCTCACACCCATGCTGACTGTCCTCAAATATTTGGCTTGAGGCTCTGTGGGCCAACAGGAGGTTAGATTTCAATGAAAAGAGAGGAGATGTAAATTTGAGTTAGTTTCTTTTAGGATTCTGTGCTGGAAAAGCCCCTTAACACATTAGTCTCATTATAGCAACAGAGCCAATTCCTTCTGCACAGAAATCCTTGTTTTGTTCTTCTAGACTGAGCCAAGTTATATTGTGACTCACTCATTGTCACTCTAAATCATTACACCCTTTGCTGAGAAAGAAGCAGTCAACTGCTGGGGCAGCAAGGTAGTTAGTCAACTGGCAAGCAGGCTTGGTGCACTGGTACTTAAACTATTGGAGAATGTTACTTTCAACTCTAAGTAATTTTATTGTTGATGTCTCACCATAAGTACTAGTATCCCACACTGGTATTTCCAGGAGATTGAGCAATGGGATCCCACCTGTCTTGATTGGAAAGTGGAAGGTTGAAATTTTTTGCTCATCATTTAAAACATATTTTATAGTCTCATTCATACTATTCTATCATTTCAAGTTCTCGATAGAAGGGGATAGCAATCCTCTTTGTTGCATCTTCTGACTGTCAGTCACAGTGCATCTTTCCCTCTTGTTTTTTTTTTGGTTAAACTGTGAGCTGACTTTCAGTAGAGATTTTCATCTCAGATGGGAGTCCTGATGGCCTTAAAGTTTAAAACCATTGCATAAAGGCTGTTCTGCATTTGCATCTGCCAGGTACCCTGGGTTTCACCAGTTCTGGTCCAATTTTACATTAATTTACTGGTTTGGAGAATTCTTCACGTACACAGTATAAATTCGGGCCCTGGATTTCTCACAAGAGGTCGCCCAGAACCCAGGTCAAAGAGAACTCTCTCATCACTCGCCCCTGTGGAAATCTTTTTCTAGCTCCCCTTTCACTGAGGGACTTGCTTGCCCTTCCAGGGTCTCAGCTTTGTGCAGGGATCAGTTACAGTTCCCCATCTCAGGTCAGCCCAAGGTGGTCTCTTCTGTCCTTGTGAGCATTAAAACCCTCAACTTCTCGGGCTGATATCTGTGTTTTATCCCTTGAGGGTTGCTACAGCTTCAGCTTACATGCTTACTACTCTGCCTTCATGTTGCTTGAACCCCAGAACGCTTATATTTCAAAGAGAAATTCAAAGTGGTGAAAACGAAACGATACTCTAAGCTAGGACCTTAAGCATTCTAAAAATTCAATATTGTCAAGATGGAGAGGCTCTTATAAATTTCATAAAGTTCTGAGCTCCTCCAATATGCTGCTACATTTACCACATACTTATTATATTTAAATACAGATAACCCAACTATTTATGGCTGTGTGTTCAAAATGACCTCCACACAGCTCTACTGAAATCTATTCTTGTGACATTCAAATTCCCTATGAAAGTCTTAAGAAAAAAAAAAGTTTGTACATAACACCTTGAAATGTTTGTTTGTTGAGTAAAAAGAAAATAACTTTGTGTCAATGAGTGACTTCTGTGTGTATTTTTAATGAAAAATAAAAGTCTTCTCCACAGATTTATTTCAAACCCTATTCCATGACCAAATCTAATATAAGGAAGAGAGGGGTTGCTTTACAGATAACATTGGCAAGACATAAACCTGCACCCCCTGAGTGAAGTAAAAGTCTAACCTGCAGGTTGTTCAGAGGCTCCATCTTCATGACTGGGCCCAAGGTGTTGAGAGGCAGGGAGACATCAATGCTCTGGTTTGGCATCAGTGGTGTATGGATGGCCAGAGGAGTGCTGGGGATGACACCAAAGCTAGGAGAGAGGATGAAGAAATCCCAGAGGTTAATCAGGAGGCAGGATTTAGTCACGTCTTTAGGTTTCAATGGCTTTTTACTCCATTTGAAGGAAACGTAAGGAATAGCAGGCACTAAAGTGCCCAATTCTAATTTGCTGTAACATTAGTTACAACATAACCTCTTTCTTCCATTAAGAAGATCTGAGGAAGGAGAAAACATTCATAAGCACAGAAATGGTTTGCTAATGCTCTGATTCTGAAAGTTTCTTATGTTTATCATGCCACTAGAGGGACAGGTTTGATAAGCATCTTTTTCTTATACATCTTCCTTCAGATAATCTTTGGGAGAAAGAACACTTAAGAATACCCACCCTGTAAAGTATAATGATATTATTTCACTTGCTTGATAACCTGCCTCATCAGACCAGAGGGTGATTTACTGGTAACTCTCATTTTCTTTCTTCTTTACTTACTCACACAGGATACAATCATTGGGAAAGAGCCAGTCTAAGTAAAGCAGAGTTGATTGGCTTAAACATTCCAAACAACACCCCAAAGGATAAGTTGTAGACTCAAATCTGGCCACTTTCTTCGCCTAAGGCAGGCAGTGAGTACCCACCAGTTTGACTTCTCAGAGAAGCCTGCCTAATAATAATACAAGAATAGTAAAGAGATGGAAAAAGCCTGAGTCTGAAGTTACAAAAAAACCCAAAAATATATGAGGGAAGACAGACATGTCTTATGTCTCAGAAACATAAGAATACAATTTTAAAAAGATGGAGCAGAAAGGGAAAAGTAGGCCCATAGGTATAACAAATAAACAATTTAATGATATAAATTTATAATGATTTATGTTCTAATGAGCCTCAGGAGGGAAGATGGGATTTTAATATTTATAAAATAATTATTGAGTTTATATAGGTAGTATCAATTTCAAGAGTCACAGACTAGCAGAAGAAACATTTGCCTTTTTGTAGATAAACTATACTTTAGAATCCCAAATGCAATAAAGAAATGATTTTGAGTAGACACATCACTCATTTTGGTATCAACATTTATGGGTCAGAAAACCCTTTTGCCCTTTTGATCTTGCTCTCATTATTTATCTATGTGGAAAACCATAAGGAATCTAAAAAAAAGGCTACTAGAACTAATAAGTAAGTTTAATGAAGTTTCAAGATACAAGTTCAATGTACAAAAATCAGTTGTATTTCTATATACTAGCAACAACCAAAAACTAAAATATGCTTCTTACTATAACATCAAAACTATAAAGCACTTAAATGTGACAAAAGATGTACAGGACCTGTACACGAAAAATTATAAAACACTGCAGAGAGAAGTTAAAGATGACCTAGATAAATGGGGAGATATGCTATGCTAACGGATTAGAAGACTCAATATTGTTTGATGCCAATTCTTCCTCAAACTGATCTGCACATTCACTGCACTCTCAAGCAAAATTCCAGCAGGCAAAAGACCTAGAATTGCCAAAACAATTTTTGAAAAAGAACATACATAGGAGGAAGGTTTATATTATCTGACTTCAAGACTTACTACGGAAAAAAAGTTTACTTTGACTCTTACTTTACACATATTATCTCACCAAAAGTACCTCAAAATGAATTCTAAAAGGTAAAGGTAGGAGCTAAATCTATTCACACTTCTATTAGAAACATTAAAAAAAATTGTAACTGTGGGTCAGGCAAAGATTTGTTAAATAGAACACAAAAAGCAAAAGACATTAAAAGAAAAAAATTGTAAAGTAAACTTTATTTAATAAAAAACTTGGGCTTCCCTGGTGGCACAGTGGTTAAGAATCCTCCTGCCAATGCAGGGGACACAGGTTCAATCCCTGGTCCAGGAAGATCCCACATGCTGCAGAGCAACTAAGCCCGTGAGCCACAACTACTGAGCCTGCGCTCTAGAGCGTGAGATACTGAGCCTGCGCTCTAGAGCCTGAGAGCCACAACTACTGAGCCCACATGCCACAACTACTGAAACCCGCACTCCTAGAGCCCATGCTCCGTGACAAGAGAAGCCACTGCAATGAGAAGCCCGCACACCTTAACGAAGAGTAGTAGCCTCTGCTCATGGCAACTAGAGAAAGCCGGCACGCAGCAACGAAGACCCCACACAGCCAAAAAAAAAAAAAAAAAAACAGTGTATATGTGTCAATTGCAATCTCCCTTAAAAAAATAAATAAATAAAACAAAAAATAAAAAACTTGTTCTTTGAAAAACACTGTTAAGAAAATAAGGCAAGCCACAGATTGGGAGAAAATATTTGCAAGACATATCTGACAAAGGACTTGTATCCAGAATATATAAAAAACTTTATTACTTGATAATAAGACAATCAATTAAAAAGAAAAAAAGAAAAAGGAACGATTTGAGCAGATACTTCACCAAAGAAGATATAAGAATGGTCAATAAGATTATGAAAAAGAATGCTCAGTATCACTAGTCATTAGGGAAATTCAAGTTAAAATGGAATACTACTATACATGTATAAGCATGGCTGGCATGGGTAAGAGTATGGAACAGCTGGAACATTCACACTTATTACCATATGACCCAGCAATACCACTGCTAGGTATTTATCCAGGAAAAATGAAAACATATATCCACACAAAGACCTGTACGTGAATATTCACAGGCGCTTTAGTCATAAAAGATAAAACTGGAAACAACCCCCAGTTCCACCAACTGGTGAATGTGTAAACAAATCATGGTATAAGCATCAATGGAATACTACTCAATAAAACAGAACAGACTGCTGAAACATCTCAAAGCATTATGCTAAGTGAAAGAAACCAAATGCAAAAGACTCCATACTACGTGATTTCATTTACAAAACATTATAGAAAAGGTATGATTATAATGGCAAACACAGTTTTCTTATTCCATATGGATGAGTTTTCCCAGCAAAATTCCCTAGGGCCTCCAGTGTTGAAGCTGAAACAGATGTGCAAGAGCCTTCACTCACTCTACATCAAACATCTGACAACACGAGAGTTTTTACCCACTGCTAAATAGAACACTCTCTTGTTGGACACAAAGTACACTGCTGTCTCAGGATCGAGCTGCGGAACTCAGATTTCTTACCTATTCTTGTTAAACTGAATTGCAAAGTCTGTCATGTGCTGCAGAGCTTTGTTGGTGAAGTTCATTTCCATATAGATGTGCCCTTGGCGGTGAGTAAATGTTCCTGGAATCTCCAGGCCCTTAGCCTTTACTGCAGGCAGCCAGACCTGAAACACAGTATAAAGCCCAATGAAACCAGACAGGATGCTTCTGAATAAAGATGAAATTAAGATTTCACTTCCTTAGGCAACTAAGGTGATTTTTATACCATAAATACCAAGCCAAATGCAAAAGGCTCCGGATAAAGTCATATTTGCTGAATTTGGAGATCATTCTCAGCTATTTAAGAACCAAAAAGAACTCACCAAAAATAAAAAAACAAACCAAAAAACCCAACCAAACAAAACAAAATCCCAACCCAAAACCAAAGCCAAAAACAAACAAAAAAAGAAAAACAAACCCCAAAATAGTCTATGGGTAGCCATGGCGAAAGGAGAAATTCCAATGAGCATAACATGGGGTTTCTTTGGTTAGTAGCTTTGGTAAAAGGCTTAAGGGGAAAAAACTGATCTAATGAAAATCGCATGTTTACAATATTTGAAGACTTTTAAAAATCATTACCAAATTCCTTATCAGTAATCTGTTAAGGGCAAGGACCATGTCTTATGTATATTTTTAACTCTCGTTACAGTCCCTGGGAAATAGTTAAGTATTCAGATGTCGTTTAAGTAATCTGAATGCCTATTTTCTCTATATAATTCATTCGTGACGCACCTCTGGCCCCAGAATCTGTGATACTCCTGGAGTGTACCACTTTACACAGACACAGACACAGACACACACTCACATATATTAAAAAACCAACAGGAATTCATGAACTGTCCTGACTAAAGACAGAATACCCATTAGTCAGTGGGTGGCTAGTAAACATGAGAATATACTCAACCACATTACAGGAAAAAAAGGAAAAAGAAAAGAAGAAAATGACACTATTTAATAGTACAAGATACTATTTTTCATCTATCAGAGGGTCAAAAATTCAAAAAGTTAGTAATGCTCAGTGAAGGAGAATATAAGGAATCTGGCACTATTACATTCTGCTTTGGAGAACTTGATGTCACCTTTTTGGAGGGTAAGTTGGTAATGCCTTATTTTAAAAAAATAATTTATTGTTTTATTTTTGTCTGCATTGGGTCTTAGTTGCAGCACACAGGAACTTCGTTGCGGCAAGCAGGATCTTTTTGTTGCTGCGCGGGCTCTTCACTGTGGCACATGCGCTTCTGTCTAGTTGTGGTGTGTTGATTTCTCTCTCTCGTTGTGGAGCACAGGCTCCAGAGCGCATGGGCTCTGTAGTTTGTGGCACATGGGCTCTCTAGTTGAGGTGCACGGGCTCAGTAGTTGTTGCATGCAGGCTCAGTAGCTGTGGTGCGTGGGATTAGATGCCCGGTGGCACATGGGATCTTAGTTCCCCAACCAAGGATCGAACCTAGGACCCCTGCATTGGAAGGCGAATTCTTTACCACTGGACCACGGGGGAAGTCCCTGTAATGTCTGTTTTGGTTTTTTTTTTTGCGGTACACGGGCCTCTCACTGCTGTGGCCTCTCCCGCTGCAGAGCACAGGCTCCGGACATGCAGGCTCAGAGGCCATGGCTCCACGGCATGTGGGATCCCCCCGGAACGGGGCACGAACCCGTGTCCCCTGCATCGGCAGGCGGACTCTCAACCACTGCGCCACCAGGGAAGCCCTCTTATGTATATTTTTAACTCTCGTTATAGACTCTGGGAAATAGTAAGTATTCAGATGTCGTTTAAGTAATCTGAATGCCTATTTTCTCTATATAATTCATTCGTGACCCACCTCTGGCCCCAGAATCTGTGATACTCCTGGAGTGTACCAGTTTACACACACATATATATACATACATGTATATATACATATATATATATATATATATATCAGATGTCGTTTAAGTAATCTGAATGCCTATTTTCTCTATATAATTCATTCGTGACGCACCTCTGGCCCCAGAATCTGTGATACTCCTGGAGTGTACCACTTTACACAGACACAGACACAGACACACACTCACATATATTAAAAAACCAACAGGAATTCATGAACTGTCCTGACTAAAGACAGAATACCCATTAGTCAGTGGGTGGCCAGTAAACATGAGAATATACTCAGCCACATTACAGGAAAAAAAGGAAGAAGAAAATGACACTATTTAATAGTACAAGATACTATTTTTCATCTATCAGAGGGTCAAAAATTCAAAAAGTCAGTAATGCTCAGTGAAGGAGAATATAAGGAATCTGGCACTATTACATTCTGTTTTGGAGAACATAATTTGATGTCACCTTTTTGGAGGGTAAGTTGGTAATGTCTTTTTAAAAAAAATAATTTATTGTTTTAGTTTTGTCTGCGTTGGGTCTTAGTTGCAGCACACAGGATCTTTGCTGCGGCAAGCAGGATCTTTTTGTTGCTGCGCAGGCTCTTCACTGTGGCACATGGGCTTCTGTCCATTGTGGTGTGTTGATTTCTCTCTCTCGTTGTGGAGCACAGGCTCCAGAGCGCATGGGCTCTGTAGTTTGTGGCACATGGGCTCTCTAGTTCAGGTGTGCGGGCTCAGTAGTTGTTGCATGCAGGCTCAGTAGCTGTGGTGTGTGGGATTAGTTGCCTGGTGGCATATGGGATCTTAGTTCCCCAACCAAGGATCGAACCTATGACCCATGCATTGGAAGGTGAATTCTTTACCACTGGACCACCGGGGAAGTCCCTGTAATGTCTTTTTTTTTTTTTTTTTTTTTTTTTTGCGGTACACGGGCCTCTCACTGCTGTGGCCTCTCCCACTGCGGAGCACAGGCTCCGGACATGCAGGCTCAGAGCCCATGGCTCATGGGCCTAGCGGCTCCACGGCATGTGGGATCCCCCTGGACTGGGGCACGAACCCATGTCTCCTGCATTGGCAGGCAGACTCTCAACCACTGCTCCACCAGGGAAGGCCCTGTAATGTCTATTTTTAAATGCTTAAATGATCAAGCACATTCCAAGTTTATCCTATTAGATATGCTTACAAAAATACACCATGATACACATAAATAAGAATGTTCATGGTAACATCATAATAACAAAAAAGGGGGCGGGGACAGGACTAGATGAATAACCTAAATGTCCATCACCAGGAGAAAGATTAAATACGTTGTGGTACACATCAATAAAGTGGATACAGCCATTCAAAAGACTGTGGTAGAGAAAAAACAAGGTGCAAAACAGTATATCCCACTGACAGTATTTAAAGGATACAAACATACAAGTATATGCATGATCTTTTTTTCTTCTGAGAGGACACAGAAAAAGTTAATAGTGGCTACTTATGGGGAAGTGGGGACAGAGGGAAACTTAATTTTCTACCTGATCTTTCTACATTATTTAAATTTGTCATTTCTAGGTATTACTGTAATGTTAGTAAACAAGTACGTTACATAATCTCTTAATCAATTAAAAGTCTGTGGGGATAATATCTAATGCAGTAACCTTACAACAAAGCTACTAAGTTGTGCCAAAACACTATAGCTCAGTTTTGAATCATATTTCTGGTTACTCTGTGTAATGGGTGTGTACACAAAGACAAGACTCCTGCGAAGGACAACTGGTTTACTATCTGCAACAGGGATCCCCCACACTGAGCTGGATGAGCAGGCAGAGAATTCAGAAAGCAACCAGGCGTGCTGCCCCTCAGAAAGGCAAAATTAAAAGAAACCTAGCTTAGCCTGGAAGGCACTATTCCCAAGGGCCGAAATATGCTTCATTTACAGGGAGTTTCCCCTTCCCCTTTTGAATTTCAATCTGAGCATGACATCAAGTGAGGCTGAGACTAGAGGGACACCAATGACACTAACCTAAATCAAAACTCTATAAAAAGGTGTAGTAAAATGCATGAAAACCAGATCTGAGCAATGGCACTCTAGAATCCATATGCAGTACCAACGGAAAAAGGAGAGTGGAAAGGATGCAAAGTAAAATGTTACTTCTCTATTATGTCTTTTTCCTCCTGCTGTTGCTCTGTATATCAGATCTACACTAGACTGACTTCAGTGTTGACAAGCTAGGCAATATTTCTAAACTAGAGAACAAATACTAAATGCTTAGTATTTCCAATTTTAAGTCTAATTATACAAATGGTTAATAAGGATGCTATGGGGCTTCTTATCGCTAGGTTTAAGGCCGCCTTTCATCCTCCTCGTAAATCCTCTAGAAAACGAGCCCCAACCTTGGATTTATTATCAGTGAGAGTAACACAAATGTCAGATGCTAAATAATTCAGGTCCTGTCCACTATGAAAGTGTTGTTTTACTTACAGCCTTAGGAGCCACATATCCACCAGGTGCCATGCCTATCCCCGTTGAGAGTTCAAATAGGTCATTCAGACCACTGCTGACCACAGCAGGAGTAGGTGAAGGAGCAAAGGTTGCAGGCACTGATGATGGGATGAAGGACTGTCCCACCTGCAGGGAATAAAAGGGAAGGGGAGCAGGGAGATCAGGAAGAACTGGTTAATAGTCCTTAAAATGTTGCTATATATTTTAATAGTATTGATAAATCAATAAGAACACACCATAATTACAATATTCTTAGGCGTTTAATTCGTATATTCTTTGTCCTTCAAATCATCATGGTTATTTTTTCATCATTGAAAAGATACACACACTCTTTAGAAGTTCTATCAAGAGAGTAATCAGTAGGATCAGGAACATAGTGATCCAAAGTTTTTTATGTTTGTTTCCAATTTTAGCTTCCATGATTCTGTGCAAAAGGCCTATAGGTATCCTAATGAAGGGGGAATCTGTTTCTATAGAAAGAAGGAGAAGCATCCAACTTAGACAGCAGTTCCATTTCCACTTGGGCCCAGGCAAGTCTTATTTCCCCATTTAGGCATAAATATCTAGTAGGAAACTCTCCTGGGGGAGATGGATACTCACACCCCCCTAACTCACGTACGAGGAGAGTCTCACTCTGAGTCCAGCTGACGCTCAAGCTCTTTCTAGACGACAGAAAAGAGTATTCTCTCGTCAAGATGGGAGGTTTCATTTCCTTTAGCCCTTTAATGTCAGGAAGACAAAGAACTCTGTAGACACCAGAGCGCCAATCCCTAAAGAGATCCCTACACCACATGTGGTGTATGGTCCCAAAGATTCCAAGTAACCCTACGCTACTTTCTACTCTTCATACACTGCTACAGAGGTTCTGGTGTACAGGGCTAGATAGCAGCAGTGGCTGGTCTGAGAACGTGTGCATAGGAAAGGCATCAAACAGGGGGCAGTGCATCCCATGGTGAAAAAAACCGATGGCACTTACTGCCGGACTTCCTCCAATGCCCCCGCCAAGGTCACTGCCAAGCTGAAAGAGAGAAAGGAGAGAGAGGAGAGAAAGGTAGAGTTCATTTAGCTAAGTACTAGATGCCCATACAGAATCTGTAAATTGCTCTACCAAGTTGCGGGGAATACATGCTATTCAACTTGACTCCCAAAGCCTAAAGAAATTCTAGATTGCAAAGAAATATAACCTAGGGGAACTGAGTAGGTGAAGTGATGGTGTGTGGGAGTTTTGAGAAAACGTGGAAAGAAGATGGAGCTGGGACATCTCAGGGATGTTTCAGATCCAATCTTTCCACTGGGGTACATAGGCACAAACCCAAACAGGACTTAAAGAGTTTACATATTCCAAGAAGCTATATCTCTAAGTTGTAAATGTTCTGAATATGTTTTATTTTTTCTTTAAAAGGAAATTTAAGGGGGGGGAAGAAAAACTAAAATATGTTTTGAACTACAAAACTTGCCGCCCCACTGAGCAAGTGGGAACCAAACCAGTAATGAGGTGCAATTTCAAGCTTCAAAAATTATAGCTTGAACAAGAGTGATTTTTAGAGTTTAGAACTCTCCTAAGAAAGCAAACGGCTGGGGCAGGAAGATATCCTACCTGGGTAGGAAATGCGAAGGCATGCAATTCTTCAAATCTCTCCCACAGTCAATACAGCTAAGGAGAAATGCTGTGATTTATCTGGAGTAGATCATTTAAAAGGATGCTAACTATTGGAGAGTTAGACTAATGCAATTAGCTAGGTGACAGGAAAATAATTCCACATGGTCTTACTTCTGCCTCTTTTTCCCGTCAGGGCTCTGATATAATTCACCCTGAATTCCAGGACAAAAGCATTAAAGAAGAACTGAAGCTGAAAATAGCTAGCATGAAAAAACATAAAACAGACATACCCACAACTAATGGTGCTGTTCAGAAAGCGAACAATACGCTTTTGTGTTACGATTCTCTACTGCTACTTCCCTAGTTCTCACTGTGCATCTAACATTCCCCTCTGAATCACCAAATGCCTTGTCTGCTTTACAAAACAGTTTCCTTTATTGTCTGTCATTTAGTGGTAGAAACTTGGAGAGCTCTAGGCTGTGGTTGTGTTAAAAAACAACAACAACAGTATTTGTCTTCAGGATTTGAGAAAGGGGATTTATTACCTTCTCAATGGACAGATATATAAAACTGGGTTGCCAAAATCTCAAAAATAATATATATACTGAAAAATAATGGGACTTATTTCCATCATGACAGAACAAAAACCCCAGGCGTTTCATAACTGGCATGAATAAGCATGTTCTGCACTAAGCTACAGAACACTCCAAACCTCAAAGAACCAACATTTGCAAAGTCTGGTTCCTGAAGACTATTTACTGGTTGGACGAGGGGCGAGAAATCACAGGCATACAGATAAAAAGGTCATCACAACCAAGAATTCGAGTAACTGGAAAAGAATGACAGCAAATAGAAAAGATATTACACACCTACCTCCTCCCTGTTTCTAGAATAACACACATCCATAGCATGACATCTGAAAAGCATGAGATTTCTTTTATTCAAACACACACTCACATTTGCTGGACATAAGGTACTATGGGGACTATAAAGATGCCGGGCAATGAGGGGAGAACAACAGATGAACAAGATCCAGGCTTTGCAAACTGGCAACAAAACAAAACACGAATGCAAAAACCATACAGAATATACTAAAGCAAAAAAAGAAAGTTCTGAATAGAAGAGCCTCCTTTTGGCTGAAGGATAGTGAAAAGAAGCTTCAAAGACATGGTAGTGTGAAATTATAGAATGCAAAAATGGGGGAGGTTATTTCTCAAATAGCCTGAACAAAGGTTAAGAAGTAGGAATAAAAGCATGATCAAGAAGGACGAGTAGGGAACTTCCCTGGTGGTCCAGGGGCTAAGACTCCATGCTCCCAATGCAGGGGATCCAGGTTCGATCCCTGGTTAGGGAACTAGGTCCCGCATGCCGCAACTAAGAGTTTGCATGCCGCAACTAAAGATCTTACACACCACAACTAAAAGATTCCCTCATGCCGCAACGAAGATTCCATATGCCACGACAAAGATCCCGCATGCGGCAATGAAGATCCTGTGTAGCCAAATAAATAAATAAATAAATATTAAAAAAAAAAAAAAAAAGAAGAAGAACGAGTAGTCTAATTAGACTGGAGCACAGGGTACATATGTGTTAAAAAAAAAAAGTCAAAGAAAATAAGTTTGCAAAGGCAAACTGATTATGGTAAGTCTTTAGATTACAATTCCTCCATCACAAAAACCTGGAGGTTTCTTAGAGTAAGATTCAATCTTTCTAAGATTACTAATAACTACTTCAATTGTGTTCTATTAACTATGGTTTTCAACCTTAGATACACAATGGAATAAACCACCTGCGTGTGTATAACTGTGGGGAAGAGGGGGATTTTTAGAAGTACTGATGCCCGAGTCTCAATCCCAGCCACAGTGATAACTGTTCTGAGTTGTAGCCTGGACATCAGAATTTTAAAAAGCTGCCCTAGTGATTCTAATGTACAGACAAGGTTGAAAACCACTGCCTTAGAGAATTAACTATGATCTGGAATCAGACAAGAATATATGCTCAGGAATTACTTTGGCACTAACTCCTGAACTGAAAAGGAAGCTAGAACTTAAGAAGAAAGAAAACCCCATTTATTTATTTTTAATTAATTAATTAATTTTTGGCTGCGTTGGGTCTTCGTTGTGGTACAGAGGCTTCTCATTGTGGTGGCTCCCCTTGTTGTGGAGCACGGGCTCCAGGCACACATGCTTCAGTAGTTGTGGCTCACCGGCTCTAGAGCACAGGCTCAGTAGTTGTGGCACACGGGCTTAGTTGCTCTGCGGTATGTGGGATCTTCCCAGGCCAGGGCTCGAACCTGTGTCCCCTGCATTGGCAGGAGGATTCTTAACCACTGTGCCACCAGGGAAGCCCAAGAAAAACTCTCTCTAAGGAAGGGACTGATGCAGAATGTCTCACTTGTCCTGATGCTGGTTTTGATTTAGTTTTTCGACTTTCTGATGGGCTTCCACACCCTCCCCCAGCCACTCTCCTCCCTTCTGGCCTATCTCACAACTGAAGCTTGAAAGAGACGGAATTCTTTATGGACCTCGTTGGCACTCGACGGCAAGAAAGAAAAAACACACTGGAAGAGAAACGGCAGTATTATCAAATATGCTACATTAAATAAAAGGCATTGAGAAAAGGCACTCACTAGTGGTGTTATTTCCAAAGGAAATAAAGCCCATTTATAGCCCTTACTTTCTTACATTTCATTCTTATTATACTTGAGTATTATATGAATATTATCTTAGCTGGACAGGATCTAAATGCACTCCCACCCCCTCCTCCCCACCATGCTGCTTGTCAATTTTATTCAAAAACATGTAAGAAAAACTGAAAAGTAATTCTGATACTCCTTTGTTTATATTCAGCTTATCAAATACAACTCAGCTACAACCCACAATCAAGAACTCTTCATCTTACAGAGACAGAATCCAAAGGGTGTTAGAGACATGTAGCCAGAAATATAAAGGTTCACATAACTGTGCTATGTCCAGAGAGCAAAAGGAAAGGACAATTTCAATATGTTTTCTAACTAGCAAAACTATAGCTTACTCAGACTTTATTCATCATCTTTCCTTTTGACTGAAAAGTTTCTAAGGGAGGTTATCATCTTCCTCTCTGAAAATATGACACAGGTGACAGCAGTGTTGGGCAAGAGTAACTAACAGGGAGATGTCAGCAAGGATGGGAGCCAATTCCCCAGTGAGGGCCTCTCTTATCTACAGCGACAAGCAGGATGATGCAGATATTAATCAAGGAGGATGCGGGGGAAGGCTAGAAAGCGGAAAAAACACAGCAATGTCGTTGTCATGTTGGCTTGAACTAGCCACTAACCATTTCAGTTCAGTTGCTGATGTCATCTGGAGTCAGACAAGATTCATCTGTTTGGTAATACTAATCAGGTAGGGTACAAAATCAGTCAAACTGGACTTGTAAAATTTCAGTGATATCTATTATCCAGTAAGCTGGGAGAGGTGAGTGAAAAGTGCCAGAGGCATAAGGCATGGCTTTAATCTCAATCTTAGGTGTCTAAATACTGTGTACGTTTTAAGTGTCTTTTGGAGCTGTCCATTTCCCATTAATCCCAGGACTGCCTTAATGAGACTACTATCTTCTCCATGAAGGAAATAATGTCAACTACAGACCAAATAAATCAGGATATAGGAAGATGAAGGAGAGGTGCCAATTTCAGGAAAAGAACACTTCAAATGCTGAAAGCTGAGCAGAATTTTCCTACAGGTCCATAGCTGATACCCAAGTCTAAAATTTCTGCTAGTGGTAAAGCTTCCCCAGCCCCCAACCTAAATCACATTAAATGGCACTAAGAATAACATTAACATTTCGCTACTGCCGCAGAGTGGGTGCTTTATCATGCCTGAAGTAGGGCTGAAATAGGTTCAGTTCATGTTGAACTAGGGAGATGTGTCGCTGCGCAGTTCATTCAGTAATTGGATGAAAAGTAGTGATTTCATGGTGACATTTTATGGGCTAAAGGGATTTCAGCACGGTTGCATGAGCTCTGCTGCAGAACCAGGTTGAGTCAAAAGTTTGAGAGCTGAGTCTGCATACCAAAAGGAAATACCTTCATCCAATGGCAACATGCTACAAAAGCAGAAGTACAGAGAAAGAACTCAAGACTGAGGTTCTGTAAGGGACCAAGTCTGCCTGACTCCAAGAAAAGGAAAAGTCTTGACCTGGCCACCAAGCAGACCGAAAACAAAACAACAACAACAACAACAAAAACCCCACATGGGATTTCCCTGGTGGCGGAGTGGTTAAGAATCCACCTGCCAACGCAGGGGACATGGGTTCAATCCCTGGTCCGCGAAGATCCCACATGCCACGGAACAACTAAGTGCGTGTGCCACAACTACTGAGCCTGCACTCTACAGCTGCGAGCTACAACTACTGAGCCCAAGTGCCACAACTACTGAAGC